GGCGTGTATGTATGGATGTGTATGTATGTATATATGTGCGTATGTATGCATTTATGTATGTATGCATGCATGCGTGCTTGCATGCATTTACGTACTTGCGGACGTACGTATACGGGCAGACGAACAGATGGACGGGCAAACTGACGGACGGACACACGCACGCACGCACGCACACACGCACGCACTCACGCACTCACGCACGCTCGTACGCAGTCACACACAACACGCACAAAGACACGCACGCACGCTCTCACGCCGCACGCATGCACGCACGCACGCCCACACGAATGCACGCCTTGTGTCAGCCTGCCTGTCTACCTGTCAGCCTGCCTGCTTACCTGTCTGTCTGCCTACTTGTCTGTCTGCCTACCTGTTTGTCTGCCTACCTGTCTGTCTGCCTACCTGTCTATCTGTCTGTCTACCTGTCTGTCTGTCCTTCTTTGTCTTCCTATCTGCCTCGGTGTCCGCCTGCATGCTTGTGTGTGTGTGTGTGTATGTGTGTGTATGTGTGTGTGTCTGTGTGTGTGTGTGTGTGTGTGTGTATGTGTTTGTATTTCACTTTTACATGCACTTGTGTGTAGGAGCAATTTCAGAAGAAGATTTAAAATTAAGATAGAAACGAAGTGAAATGTGACCAGGAAAGAGGTGGAAAATAATGATAACAGGGAACAAAACTGAATGTGCGTTTTTGGAAAAAGCATAATTTTTTTTCTAGTGGTTTCTCTGTGCCCTTGGTTTGTTCATCTTTCACAGTCTGCACCCGTGAGTGGTTTGTGGGTGCTCTGGTATGGTTTGCTTCTTCTTTCCTATCAAACATCTATCGTCTTTTTCTCCCTTCCTTCTTTTTTGTTTTTGTTACTCTCTTGTAACACCTCTAATCTTCAGCACATATATGAACTTATTGTGTTGCAAGTGCCGTAAAACTTTTACTAAAACTAAACAGACTGCTCTGGGGTGCTTTGTTGGCTCCGTTGGTATCATATTGAATTTCACAGTGGGTAGCCCTGGTTCGAATCCCAGACTTGTTGTTCTTGAGCTTGTGTTGGGTTGGGTTGGGTTTTTTTCAGTTTTCAAGACATTCAAGCCTATCTAGCTCGGTACTATCGGAGACGGACGTTTAATTCAAAGGTCCAGCCTCTGAAATGACCTGATAGTGTTGATTAGGGCCTTCAACCCATACCTTTACTTTACACTTACAACTCTACACGCAACACGACATTTGAAAGTATGATGTGTCCAATGCAGCATAAAAATCATTTTAGGAACGAAGAAAAAAAAGCTAAAGTTAGTTCATGTCTTTTTACGCCTTTTCCCTTTTTCTGATGGACGTTTGCTCTATGTCGCTGTTTTAGGGAATCAGTTACTGAAAGACCTAGAGGATGCAAAGCTGTCGAGGCAGGACCAAGAGAAGGAGCGAGAGGAGTTGGTGAAGAAGGCCAAGAGTATGCAGCACAAAACTACCAACAGGAGAAATGAAGGTTGGTTCTGGTTTTGTTTCTTTACTCTCACCTTTGTATCTTTCTGTTTCTGTTTGTTTGTTTTTGTTTTTGGTAGCATAAAGGATTAAAATAAGTTGCGGGGAGGGGGGGAGGAGGGTGTTAACAATCCGTCAATTAAATTTGCTGTTCCGACTAAAACTACTACTCATATCTCTCTCTCTCCCTCCCTCTCTCTCTCTCTCTCTCTCTTTCTTTCACTCTCACCCCCCACACCCCTCATTTCTCCTGTTTCTCTCTCCCCTTCTTCCCCATCTTTTATATCTCTATCTCCCTAACTGTTTCTTGTTTTGTCCTGGCCTCCCTCTCTCTCTTTCGCTCTCTCTCTCTCTCTCTCTCTCTCTCTGTCTCTCTCTCTTTCTCTTTCTCTCTCTCTCTCTC